TGAGAGGCTCCAGGAAGACAGAGAGCAGGTAGCCTGGGCTTAGTGCAAATGGAAAGGAGGTTCCAGAGGCTGGTCCACATCACCAGCCCTGGGCCCTGTCGAGGCTCTGAGGCTTGAATCCCATGGGGCCAGGAGTAGGAGACGTGGAGGATCAGAATGGATTAAGCCTTATCAAGACACGACATTTTCCCTCTCCGATCTGCTTATGGGCACATGACATGTCGACAGTGTTGAGTGCAATTAACAAATGCAAACATTTTTGTCTATACTCTGGTCCATCTTTTGCCCTCTTTAATCTTTTTGGTTTTCTTTGATTTCAGCCAGGGTTGGTCCTTTTGCAAATACCCCAAAGGACAGGCTGTCCCTGTCACACAACCCTGCCTTCCCCTACCATATCCCAAAAAACTCTAAAGAATGCAATTTCAGGAGATGTTACAGGAATGTGGGCACCCCCCAAAAAAGATGGTGTAATAGAATAAGTTTGGAAAACTCTTGTGGGCTTCTTGGCCTTCACATGCTAAAAGATGGGTTGAGACTCGAAGAGGAATGTGAGCAAGCAGTTTGCCAAGTTCGCTGGGTCTTGGGACCCTGTCTGCAAGGAACACCTTGCAGAACTGGTGTTTCCCAAACACATTTTGGGGTGCACCCTTCCCTTGTGTAGGTGGCATCTGCAGGAAGGCCTGAGGGATTGTCAGGTGCTGGTTCTGAGGAGACCCATCTGATACTGGTGCTGCCTCCATATAGAAGCTGCATTCACACCCAAAGAATGTCCCAAAGCCTCCCAGTGGGTTTCACACAACCAGATAGGAGTTCTGATGTGGCACTAGATGATCGGGAACAGTCGGGGGAGTAAGACACTTGGGGAGGGTGGCTGGACAGCAGGTGTCAGATGCAAGCCTGTGTTCCTTTGCCCTGCAGCAGAGTGAGAACTGAGTGAGGTGGGGCTGGAGCTTCTAGAATTGGGTAGCAGGTGTCCATCTGGAAGCTGGCCACATGGGGATCTCCTAGGAGCTCGGCTGCTGGATGGGGAGGGTGAGCCAGCAGGCACCAGCGAGCGCTGCCCCATGGGAGCCCAGGTGAGGACCCGCAGTGCTGCCTGGAGACAGGCTCCGACCGTCTGACCTCCCAGGGCAACCGCTGGCACAGCAGAGGCAAAGGTGAAGCCGACTGGTTAAGATCAGTCTGGTCCGAGATGGCTGGGAGCCCCGCAGGGAGTTAGAGCAGCCCGCTGACGCCAGGGGAGACTGGGGAGACTGGAGGAGCAGGCAGCCACGACGGGGTGCGGGTTAACCCCGACTCGGGGGCAGTTTCCGTCCACACTGATGTGTCATCCATGGTTCCTTGCTCTTCAGTAAGCGATGTGGTAGGGATTTAGAGAGGCAGAGGGGGAATAATTCTCTCTTTTGTCCCTAGATGTCTTTATAAGGCAACTAAATGTAAGTGTTTTGCCGTGAAGTTGAGAGGTAACATCCTCTAATAAGTAAAAGGTGGAGCTCTCACAAGGACTGGCCGCTAATGTCCCATTTGGCTTTGCCGACATAGGGTGTCTTGCTGGGGGCCGTGAGGATTAAAGCTCTTTGCTTTGGCCTAAAGTTGCATTGCTAGCACAGCTGAAAACCAAATGCGTGCAAATTGAGACATATTTTCCCATTGGTTCCCATGACAACAGGGGAGGTTTGTTCCCAAGGTGAGGAGAGTAACGCGGAAACCAAAGGTAAAATAAAAACCAGGTGGGTCAAACCTCTGTTTGAGGTGCACATTTTAAGGGGAGGCGATGATTATTTCTTCTTGCCCTCGGCCCTCCTTGTGCAGAGTAGGGGCGTGTGGGTTTAACAGAGCAAAGAGTGCTCCCGATACCACGTGCCTGGAGCTGAGGGACACCGGGACGGCCTGCCTTGCGTGCCCCTCCCTCCTGGGGGTCACTGGCCCACTCTTTGTCACCTTCACCTGTCTGTGGTTTGGGCCGCTCAGAAAATCCAGGACCTGGAGGCCACGCTGTACACGGCGCTGCAGCAGGAGCCGGGGCGGAAGGCGGGCGAGGCGCTGAGCGCGGGCCAGCGGGAGGACCTGCAGGCGGCCGTGGAGAAGGTGCGCAGGCAGATCCTGCGGCAGAGCCGCGAGTTCGACAGCCAGATCCTGCGCGAGCGCATGGAGCTGCTGCAGCAGGCCCAGCAGGTAGGGGCGCCCACGCACCCCACGGCCCGGGGGCACCAGCGCCTCTGAGGGGCCCCTGGGGTCCCAGGCTGCTCAGCAGAGAGGGCCAGCAAAGCAAGCTTCTGTCCCCTCGTCTGTGCCCGTCATCCCTCAGGCGTCTGCCTCCCCGGGTGGGGGAGGGCGGGCCTTGGGCGTTACAGACGCAGTGAAACAGGGAAGCACGCCAGAGTGGGCTCTCCCCTCGCCCCGCCGCCCTCCTCCAGCACCCTACTCTGTTTCACAGTCAGACGCCTGCAGCCAGGGGACATTGGCTGCACATTTCGCTTTTTAGCTGTATTTTGGGATGATGGCTAATTTGGAGATTGGGCTTAGAAGCTATGCCAGTTGTAATTCCAAAAATCTTAACCTCTTCCAAGGTCTGGTGTCCTAAGCGAGTTTCCTGGGCTCCTGTGCACATGGGAGTGAGGCTGGGAGACTGCTGAGCGCAGTGAAGGAAGCGCAGCGCAGCTTGCAGGCCGCACGCGGCGTGCCGGGCAGTGGCCCCTGCCCTGCAGATGCTTTGTCTCATGGCGCCTCTGGGGGCGGGGGCGCATTATGGTGTCCATTTTCCAGATGAGACAACTGAGGCTTGGGAGGGTTAACCCGTGTGCCTGAAGATCACCCAGCTAGTAAGGAATCTTACCAGTGGGGAAGGAAGGATCTAGATTACTGGTGGGAGGGATATCACAGAAGGAAAAAGCAAGGTGGCAGGGCAGGCAGAGAGACAGAGAGGCTGATTTATTTTGAGGAATCGGTTCATGCAGTTATAGAGGTTTAGCAAGCCCGAAGTCTGCAGGGCAGGCTGGCAGGCTGGAGGGAAGAGCTGTGGGCCAAGTCCAGACGCTGCATGCTGGCAGCATCGCTCCTGATCGGGGAGGTCGTTCTTTCTCTTAAGGCCCCAGCTGATTGGATGAGGCCACCCGCATTAGGGAGGGTTGTCCGGTTTACTGAGAGTCTACTGATTTAGATGTTTATCTTATCTGAAAAATATCTTTATGAAAACATCTAGAATAATGTTTGACCAAATATCTGGGTACCGTGGCTTAGCCAAGTTGACACATAAAACTAACCATCGCCACTGTCAGAGTTCGGGAAGAGCATTCCAGGCAGCAGGACAGCACGGTGTGGTCAGCTTAGTGGGTGGGGCAAAGTGGCTGACAACACAGACGCTGGCCCCCAGTGGCCTGGCTTTGAACTCTGGCTGTCCTGCTTATTAGCCATGTGGCCTTGGCCAAATCACTCAACCTCTCTGGGCCTCAGTTTCCTCATGGGATGATGGTGATGCCTGCCTCCCGGGGACACGGCAAGGTTAGGTGATTACTGTGTGTGACGTGCTCTTACGAGCGCAGGCCGTGGTGACCTGTGCTGGCCGTAGACTGCAGGAGCCGGAGCGGCAGAGGAGTAGGCGAGCACTGGCTCGGATCTGATGCCCAGCACTGGGCCAGGACTTGCTGCCTACGTGTGTAGGATAAGGGGTCGATTTTGTGTTCCGGAAATCCAGTTCAAAGAAGAACAACACTTGTGTGTTTGAACCGAAAAAATCGTCACTTTGCCTGAGGATTCACCTCACGTGGCCGTGCTGCACCTGGCGGCCTGTGCGGGACGCACGACGCCAACGAGCACCTGACGACAAGGCAGCGCCACGTCAGCCGTGACTCCTGCAAAAGCCCTTTATGGCACAGCCTGAGACGTGAGCCCAGGATCTGGGGGATTAAAACAAATGCAGAACGCAAAAAGCACGTCATGGTGGTCATCTCCCTGCTCGGCAGACTGAGGACTAGCATCCCTTACAGAAAAAAGTCATTTAAACACTCTGGCAAAGTGTTTTGGAGCATTTGTGTAAAATCATATGGGACAAATCCCTTACTTTTATAGTTCTCTTGGAACTTATGTAGTTAATTGCAGGGGGAAGATTCACCCATAGGTTAATCGAAGCTGAGATTTGCTTTTCCTTTATCTTCGGGTCATTTTCAAATTAGTTGAGAATTCTCCTGAAGGTAATTTGTAGATAGCCTTCCTCCCACTGAATATTAAAACTGCCCTGATCTCACTTTTATTAAGACACACTGATATGTGCACATAAGCCAAAGTCAATAAAGTCATTCCAGAATGCATCGCTTTGAGTCTATAATGAGACATGACATGCAAACCAGTTAGCCTGGTGCATGCTAGTGTTCAGAAAAGGAAGACTCTTCACGTAATGACACATGGACCCTAACTTCCAAGGCAGTGTGCAGCCCCCGGCCGCTCCAAGTGTGCCCATCATGTCTTGCCAGTGCCATGTCAGACATGCAGGCTCTCAGGCCCTGCCCCAGACCTCCTGAGCCAGTGCTCAGTACACAGCTGTGGAAGGAAGGCAGGGTGCAGCAGCGGCATCCCGTCGTCACCTCCCCTCTCCCCAGGAATCACACCTGGGTGCCCCACCTCCAGGAAATTCTGTTAAAGGAAACATCCAGTGAAGTCTGTGCATCTTTTATGAAGGCAGCAAGATGCTGGGTGGGGGACCCTGCCTGCTGCTGCTGCTACATGCATGTGGCGCTCATTGTGGGGGACAACGAGAGGCAGCCACATCACGGCCTGGTGCGTTTCTCCGGGAGAGCCTGGCCAAGCCTTTCCACTTGCAGGGTGACATGGGACCCTCAAGGCAATGCCTGGAGCTAGAGCTGCTCAGACAAAGAGACCAAGGCCAGGGAAGATAGAACCCTGTGACAGTTCCAGAGCCGAGCTCAAAGCAGGGAGGAGCTGGACACCTTCCCCTGGATTCTGCTGCCTGGTATGATGAAGCAGGGACTTACCTGCTTTAGTCAGGAGACAGGGGGAGGTGGAAGGGGAGAAGGAATGAGAATTCGTTTTCCTACAAAACGAAAAGGGTAATGAAACCCTTACACCTCTCTGTAACTCACAGCTGTGTATCCATAAGACTGAGAGCCTGAGAGCCTGCATTTCTAAATGTCTCAGCGTCATTCCGGTGCCACTGGTGTGGCATGATGAGCCACACTTGGAGTGGCCAAGGGGACAGCACACTGCCTTGGGAATTGCAACAGTGTGCTGAGTGCCCGCCGTGTGCCAGGCATGGCTCTGGCCCCCAGGAACGGAGCAGCGAACAGGGTATTGGAGTATGTGCTTATGCTCTAGTGAGGGGACGGGCAGTGCCCATGTAAATATTGAGAATGTCAGAAAGGGGCAAAGTCTAAAGTGATGTGAGGTGGTCAGCTGTCTAGCTGCCTGGCAGAGACAACAGCAAGCACAAAGACCATGAGGTGGGAACAGGTTTATTATGTTTGAGGAAATGCTTTATGTTTTTTGAACAGCTGTAATTTTCAAAAGAGTTTATTATTCATGTTTTGCAATTGTTTGCAAATTGCTATAATTTAATACTTACGGTCTTCAGAAATCTGGTATCTTCAAAAGAATATTGCAAAACCTACAGTTTTTCCCCAAAAGGGAGGAATTCAAACGTGCATTGTAATGATTTTTCTTCCCCTCCAGGAACACCAAAAATAGCGTTTTAAAATTATGTATGGAAAGCTATGATGTAGTGTTAGGAGCCCTGACAAGTTTGAATTCATATCCTGTCCCCACTTACGACGTGACCTGGGGCAAGCGCTTCATTCTGTGAAGTCCACGAAGCACACAAAGTGCCCATCGCAGAGGGTCGTGGTCAGTGGAGAATTTAGTTAAAGTGCTCAGAGGTCTCTTTGACAAAGTAAACACTCAGTGAATATTAGCAAGCATTTGCTGCACTTGGCCTTTTCGACTCAGCACAACCTTTCCCATGTATTCTGTCCCCTTTATATTAACAATAGCACCTCACATTCATTCATGCAACCCATGCAACATGCACGATTGCAATACCCTCCCCACTTTCTCTGTCCCAGCAGAAGCCTTCATGACACACTGCACCACATCACCCACCCCTCCTGCCCCAGGCCCTCACTGGCTCCCCAGTGCCCAGAGGTAAAGTCCAGGTTGCTTAGCCTGGCCTCAGAGCCTTCCCGGCAGCCCATTCTGATCCCACAACTGCACTGTCCACCTCTCTCAAGAGAGCCCCCACTCAACACTGTTCCACTGCCTTTTGTTTAGTTTTGCATTTTTCTGATGTCTATGTACCAAGCACTGTTCTAGTGCTGGAGCCAGAAGTGACCAAAGTTTTGCTCTTAGGAGGCTTATATTCCAGTGCAGGGAGACAGATGGGCCAGCACGTAGAAGGGGCCTAACACGTGCTGGTTGAGGGAACTCAACCAGCCCTGTGAGTATAGATTGCTGATGCAATCTCACAGGTGAGGAGAGTGAGACTCAGAGAGGGTAAGCAGCTCACCCAAGGTCACACAGCCCAGAGCAGAGCTGAGATGTGAATCCAGGTCATGAGAAAGTGTTAACCACTCCCTCTGGCTCTTGGTGTACAAGTTCTGTGAAAGCGGTGGAGTCTGACACTGGGTTACAAAGTACTTTCCCACAGGTCCCACCTTAGGTCCGAGGGTCACGCGGCTATTACAGAGGCCTTCCCGCCCAGCCCTCCTGGCTCACGGCACCCTCTCGGTGAAGGGGGTCTCCATCCACAGTCAGGCTGCCAAGGGGCTGCAGCCAGCGGCAGTTGCCTGGGGACACCCACACTGGAGGGACTGGGCACGTGACAGACTAGAAAAGGTGGAATTTGCCAGGTTCCCTAAACCACCCAGGCACGTGGGTGTCTCACAGGGAGTTCAACAGGTGCAATGCCAAGTGGGGTGACCAACTGTCCCGGTTTGCCTGGGACTGAGGGGTTTCCCAGAACTTGGGCCTTTCAGTGCTTTTATTGCTAACACTAGGAAAGTACAAATCGAGACAGCGGGTCATCCTGGCACCTCGTGCTGAGTGTGGTCTAAGAGGGTGGCACCAGCATGCACTTACCCTGCCCTCCCCCTTCACTCTCCCCAGCTCCCAGGCTGCAGCTAAATAAAGCTTGGACAAATATGTGACTTGGTGTCACATTAAATCCATGCTCTAATTGGCCTGCCCAGAGTGCCTACGTGTTTTGGTCTAGTCTTGATGTTTACATTTTTAAAAGATCCCATCTTAAGAGTGTACACTGCATAAATTCTATTTCCATGAATTGTAAGAACAGGCACAATCCATCATTCGTGGTAGAAGTCAGAACAGAGATCCTTTGTGTGGGGGTGGGGGTTGACGGAAGCAGGATGGGGCCTCCTGGGTGCTGGGGGTGTCCTGTGTCTCGTTTGGTGGTGGGGACCCAGGGGTGTACACATACAAATGCTCACGGAGCTCCCCTCTGAGTGCCTGCATCCTTTACTGCTCCTATGCTACACCACAGTAGCAAATGAAGAATGAGGTTCTTCTGGAAAACTTACTTCTTCTGGTTTATACCCTGATGTGTTTCAGAGAGTCCGAGAGCTGGAGGACAAACTGGAACTCCAGAAGCGGCACCTGAAGGAACTGGAGGAAAAGGTAGGTGGTTGGAGCCCTGCCCGCCCGTGTGCTTTCTTTCCAGGAGCATTAGTGTGGAATATTTGTTTTCCCCGCTGCCAGTGTCGTAATGTCCAAAGAATAGGCTCGGACTTCAGCCCTCCCTTCTCTGCCCTTCTCCAAAATTAGCACCTCCAAGAAATCAGTCTTTCCTTCAAATTCCTTTCTGGTAAAGACGTTGCCTTCTCAGCGGCTGCCGAAAATTCTGCTATGTGGGGCCAACCCTGTGTGTGTGTGTGTCTTTCACAAAAGCCCTCCTGAATCCTGCCACTGCCACCTCACTAGGAAGGATGAGGGGCCCTTCTTTTTCGAGGGATGCATCAGGCTAGACTTCAACGAGGCTGGTGGCGTTCCCCGGGAGTGGGGGCTGATGATTTCCCAGGGATGCACTCATTTTCAATGCCTTCCGTACACCCCAGACCAGGGTGTGTTCTTGGAAGACGCAGTTTCTTCTGTTCCAGGGGACATGAGGCTGGCATCTCACTGGCCTTTTGGGAGTGCCCTGCCCAGCCTCATTTATGGGTCTATGATGACAAGCTTTTTATGGGTGCAAAACTGAGGAGAGATAGATTGGACACCTGTCCACGCTCCACAGCTAGGAAGGGAGGGCTGGGGTCTTCTCGAATGCTGTAGCCACCCTACCTGTCCCCCCACCATGCTGCCGATGCAGCAGACACGAGTCTTGTTCAGGAGCGCGTGATGCGGCACCACCACGGGGTCTCGCCTTTCTTGCTTGTGCCTGGTGGCCGTGAACCCTAGACGGCTGGGCACAGCGTCACCCGTCTCTTCACGCCGGCAGGTCCTGCCAGGGAGAGGGCACCAGCAAATGTCTGTGGGACGGGTACACAGACGGCTGTGCACGAGTGCAGAGGAGAGGCATAATTGCGTGTGTTGTGTCACAGAGGCAAGTCCAGTGCGGGAACGAGGTGAGGGTTGCTGACCCTGCCACGTGCCCAAGGAGGCGCCCCGCAGGAACCCTAAGGCCAGTACGGTGCCAGCCCCGAGGGAGAGAGAGAGGGCATTTCTGGGCTTCACGTGGCTTCACGTGGCTGAGGCCTTGTGAGAGAGGAAGCTGACTCACTCCAGGGACAAAGCAGGGCTGGAGTCACTGGAGTCACCAGAAGGCAGGTTTCAGGGCTGTCCAAAAACAGAAGGACGGCCTCCCCGTCCTGGAGGAGCCCAGGCAGCGTGCCGAGAGAGGGCTGGCACTCCACATTCTCTCATGAGTGTCGGCTGCCAAGCAGGCCACGGCCCTGCCCACCCGCCTGGAGCCCCTGGGCCTCGCTGGCTTGCAGGGCGGCTGGAGGGGCTGCATGCAGGCACGGGCTGGGCTCTCCTGCCAGCTCCTGCTGCCTTCACGGGAACCCGAGTCTAAGCTGATTCCTCGAGTTCCCCTCTGCCAGATGCCCACTCCCTCCCACAAACTCCCAGGGCTATTTTGAGGACTCAGGGAATCCTAAGTATCATTCAGTTTAAGGATTTCTTGGGACATACGCTGGCTTTGCAGACGATGCGTCCAGGCTTCCCTCTGGCCCTGCCTAGCGGGGCCCAGGAGCCTGGAGGAGCTGCTCTCCACGCCAGGCCTTGGCGTCTGTTCCCACCTGCTGCTGGGAGGGAGGCTCTGTCTCCTCCAGTGCTCGCGAGGATTGAGTCAGGTCCAGGTTAAGAAAGTTCTTAGCCCAAGGCCCAGGGAGGGCGGGTGGGCCTGCAGGGCTGGTTCTTCCTACCTTCCATCTCCCGGGGAGCTCTGAAACTTCCATTGGCAAAATGGGTCACAGAGCCAGATATGACAGAAGAAAGGTCTCCAACACGACCACGATTGTTCCTGCTGAATGAAATGTTGGAAGTCAGATCAGAGAGGCACACGCATGACATCACGCCGGCTGCACCCCCCAGCAGCGGAGAATAGCTGGGAAATGCTTGAATTGTCTTTCTGGCTCCTTTTTACTCTTTTCTCAGAGCAAATATCTGTAGACTGCTCTGTCTCCTTTTATCACCGCAGGGAGTGGCAAAGGCTGGTGCAGAGCAGAGGGACTGGCGGGGACGGACGCCAGCTTAGGCCTGCAGGGCCAGAGACGTCCCAAGAGGCCCGCATGCGCCTGCCTCCTCGTGGGCATGCTGGCCTGTGACGGCGGGGAGTGACTCCCGCTACCACTGCCAGGGGCTCACTGGTCCCTTTGCTGCAGCCAGAAACTCTCTCCTGGCACACCCCGCTCACTGGGGGTCTTGGCAGGTCATCCCCTTCCAGGCCTGTTTCCACATGTAGCAGAGGAAGGGCTGTATGACACCCCAGGCCCCTTCTAGTTCTAACTTCCAGTGACCCTAACTCTTGTTTAGAAGCTGATGGCTATTCTTTTGGACTTTACTTGTTTTAATAAATAATATAGGGGAGACATTACCTTGTTTTAGGGGAAAAATCCCAAGGATTACTTTCAAAATATGATGTTTAAATAAGTTTCACCGAATGACTACCAATTCTCTTTGGACAAAGCAAGTCCTGGATAAGTTAAGAAAAAAAAATTCTACTTTTAAGTTGACATGTAGGACGTTTATTCCCTTGCTACTTTTTTTTCTTTTTGAAAGCAGACTAAGGAAATGGCACAAACGAGTTTAAACAGTGGATTCTGGGAGGAGGGAGCCCGCGGGGACGGTGTGGGGAAGGGCGGTGGTCTGTGCTTAGACGGGCCGGCGGGCCGGAGCACGGCACGCCTGGTCTGCGGTGGGAGCCGCGGCTGTGACTGTCTGTCCACACTGCTGTCCGGGTCCACAGGTCCCCTCCGAGCCGGCGGGGGGGAGCGCGCCGGGCGCCCGGCCCGTCTGCTTCAGCCTCTCTCCCCGGCCCACCCCCGCGCCACAGTTCTTGTAAAATGCTGTCATTGAATTCCATACTACATATCTTACATCTTTTTTTCTTTTTTCTTTTCTTTTCCTCATTTTTTTTGGTCTTATTTTATAGTTTTTGTTCCTGTTTTTGTTTTTCTCACTAGCATTCATTCTGTGGCCTTGATGACTCCCGTGAGCCGAGAACTCGGGTTGGTATCCTTTCCTTTCACTGATAAAATGACGATTTCTGAAAAAGGAGGGTTCCTCCCAATGTCTGACTGTGACGCTCCCGTGGAGATGGCCCGGCCGGTGTCCTGGGTCCCTGGGGAGCTCCCCTCGCAGGCAGAGCAGGCGCACCCTGTGGAGAGACGCTGCCCGTGCAGTTCCATCCTTCCGTTTCATCCCAAAGGTTCTCTCCAGTTTGGCTTCAGTCCCTGGTGCTCCCTATGGCCTTGTGACCAGTAACTCTTCTGTAGGGTCTGGAGCGAGTGGCTTCCAGGGCCAGGGACTGCAGAGCAGCTGGTGGATGGGTACAGGGCCCAGGACACTGGAGCACAACCGACACGCAAACTGCCCAGGGGGCCTGTGCAGAAAGCACCGGCTCCCTGCCCTTCACCCCACCTCTGTGCCTGGTTTGATGCCCGTGCCGTGCTCAGGGACGGCAAAGTGAAGCCAGCCCCAGCTGGCCCTGCTCTGACCACGGGGCTCTGTGTGTTCCCAGGACCCAACGCCACCCTGAGTTCCCACTTTGGCACGTGGAGCCCCCACGTCCCCCCTGTTGTGAGTGCCCATATCAGGGCTGGGGTCAGCGGGGACCCTAGACTCTAGAGCTCTGCCCCTGAATCCAGCCCAGGGTGAGGGGATCAGCCCATCCCTGAGCTTGGGGGATGCCCACTATGTCACCATCTGCCTAGACCCCTCGGGCTGAGCTCTGATGCCACGCCCCCTGCCTCACGTCCACAAGGGCTTTGGTCTGGGACCTTCTGCCCCAGTGCCTGGGCCAGTACTGGGCACGTGGGAGATATTCATTCAATGTTTGTGAAATGGATAGAGGAATGATCTCGGGTCTTAGAGGACAACTCACACTCAGCCCCACCTGATGAGAGGTGGGGGTGGCCACAGGCATTTGGGTGGGTTTTGGAGCACAGGGGATCCCAACCCTGCTGCTGCTGCTTCCCTGGACGGTTGCGGAAGGTCCCTGGGAGCTCAGCCGGAGCTTCAGGATAGCGGTGGGGCAGGAGCAGATAAGCCAAGGGCTCCTCTAGCCACTTTAAGCCTTGGTTCTTGTGTCATTTCAAATTATTTTTTAACCTTACAGGATAAAAAAAGTTTATGGAGCAAATTGAGTCCCTACGGCAACCCCAACCCCACTAAAACCAAAATTCAACAGCGAAACCAGTTATTCAAAAGCCCAGAGACTCCAAACAGAATTCACATATCTTTGACAACAGAGTTAAGGGGAGGCCTTTTGGACACATGGCTGGGGCCTGGCTAGCCTAGCGGTAAGAACTCTGCAGGGACGATGGGGATTTTTTCAAACTCAGAGCCACATTCGTGTCCCAGCTATGGCACCTCCAAGAGTCCAAGGGGGCAGAGACATGAATTCCAGGAAACTAAGTGCAATTACCAGAAGCCAAGGCACCAGACAGCACTGTGCTGCCCTCGTCTCCGTGCCTGGCGCCTCCCCGCCGCGCGTGTGCCCCCTCGACACAGACACCATGCGCCCTGTGTATATAAACCTCCAGAACCATGCTGTGTGCATCCCGGAGTCTGTCTGCTGGAGCGACTAAAATGGCCCTGTGATTTGAACCCCAATTCAAGCCCCAGTCTGCAAAACCCCTAAATCTGTGCGCAGCTGGGCTCAGCAGCTGGAGCCAGAGAGACAGAGCAGGATTCTGGTGAGGGGCTGGAGCCCTGCCTACGGTGGAGGAGCAGACTTCAGGGACCTCAGATTTCCAAGGGGAAGCCCAGGGCTCTGTCACTCTTGTGGGTGTACGTGACAAAAGTCCCAGAGCATGACCGTCCCTGGGGCCAGGTAGAATGAGGACTAAGAATGTGGATGCAGCCACTGCCAGGGCACGCTTGGGCCTGCCTTGTGTCTTACTTATAATTTGCAAGGGGCTCCAAGGAAGAGGTGCTGGAGCAATGCCCGGGGCGCTGGGGGGCGCGGCTCCTTCCGTGGGGATCTGTCGCCCAGGGAGGAAGCGAGGGAGGCTGCCCCTGGATGGAGCCAGGAGAGGCTTCAGGGTGTTGGAGGCCTCCCCAGAGAAGGGATGGGCGGCTGTGGAGGGCCGGACACCAGCTGGGGACAGTCCCCTGGGAGGACATTCCTGGAGAAGTTGCTCTTTGTTGATGTTCCTGTTGTTCTTCCTGGGAAAGAGCGAAGGAAAGCGCCTGCTCTCACGACTATCTTCTCCCAGACTTTGGGAAGGCGGCTTTGGAAACAGAATAGACGGTGTGAAGGGAAGACTGGCTGCGAGGGCAGGCCCGCTAGTCTGACCCGGCGCAAGGCCAGGACGGGCCGCCGCGCGGCCGGCTGCGGGTGGAAGGGCTGGTGTCTGCTGTGGCAGAGCAGCCACCTGCGATCTCTGGTGAGAAGGACAAAGGGACGTGGCTGACGCTCGGGCAGCGGAGGGAGCCTCAGGGGGCCGGTGCCCGGCAGAGGAGCTGACCGTTCTCATGAGGCCAGACGCGTGGCTGAGGGACAGGAGCTCTGCACGGAGGGCCCTGCCAGCCGGGAGGGCTGCCCGCCCGCGCCAAAGGATGGGGCTCCTAGCGCGCGCACTAGGACAGCCACGAAGCGCCGTTCCCTTTTGAAATCCAAATCCCAAAGCACCTGCTGGCCCGGCCCCCATGACTTACCTGCACGTGCCACCAGATGTGAACGCCCACGTCCTGCTTGCGAGACAGCGCCTGAGCACCCTGGGCGGCCGGCGAGCGGGAGACGCAGGGAGTGAGCGCACAAGCACGCCTGTGTCCCGGGCCCGGACGCAGGAAGCAGCTAACTCCGGCGCTGGCTTCTGTGAAGCCAGGGGCGCCGCGGGTCTCGGCTGCTGCCCCAGAGCGCCGGCCCAGCACCCCTGCAGGCTCGTGCAGGAGTGCGGTTCCGGTCCTTCTGCGAGTCTGCCCGGCTGTCCACTCAGACCACGCGTGACAGAAATGGCCTTGGCTTTGAAGTCAGACTCGTCCAGTCACGGCCAGCCCGGCCACTCCTGGCTGCTCTGAGGAAGGGGGTGATGGTTCCCGTGCCACACCGGACTGTCAGCCCACAGACCCCACGGGCCACCCTGGCTGCCGCAGGAGACAGCATCGGCTCCTCTCGCTGCGGGAGTCGTCCTCCAGGAGTCCGCACAGCTGACCGGGGGCCGGGGCCCACTGCTCTGGCCCCCAGGACGCAGCTGAGGAGGAGGGAACGAGGTTCACCCAGGCAGGTATGGGAGTGGCACTGCTTCCGAGCCCAAGTCCCTGGTGAGGGACATCCCCGGGTGTCGCTTCCTAGCTCCCTCCTAGCAACAGGCTCGCTTGCAAGCACCTTTGTGCTCAGGGAGCCTCTGCACCGCAGCAGCCACTAGACACACCCCTGCGCGACCCCACAGCCGCTGCGCCGGGGGTGCGTCAGTCAGGGCTTCTGCTGCTGCTGTTGCCTGGTAATGCATGTGCGGCTCTCAGGCCAGGCGTGTGCGGTTCCCAGGCAATGAGTGTGCGGTTCCCAGGTAATGAGTGTGCGGTTCCCAGGCAATGAGTGTGTGGTTCCCAGGTAATGCGTGTGTGGTTCCCAGGCAATGCGTGTGCGGTTCCCAGGTAATGAGTGTGCGGTTCCCAGGTAATGAGTGTGCGGTTCCCAGGTAATGTGGGTGCGGTTCCCAGGTAATGAGTGTGCGGTTCCCAGGCAATGTGTGTGCGGTTCCCAGGTAATGCATGTGCGGTTCCCAGGCAATGCGTGTGCGGTTCCCAGGTAATGCGTGTGCGGTTCCCAGGTAATGCGTGTGCGGTTCCCAGGCAATGAGTGTGCGGTTCCCAGGCAATGCGTGTGCGGTTCCCAGGCAATGAGTGTGCAAGTAATGCGTGTGCGGTTCCCAGGCAATGAGTGTGCGGTTCCCAGGCAATGCGTGTGCGGTTCCCAGGTAATGAGTGTGCGGTTCCCAGGTAATGCGTGTGCGGTTCCCAGGTAATGTGTGTGCGGTTCCCAGGTAATGAGTGTGCAGTTCCCAGGTAATGTGTGTGCGGTTCCCAGGTAATGAGTGTGCGGTTCCCATGTAATGTGGGTGCGGTTCCCAGGTAATGTGTGTGCGGTTCCCATGTAATGAGTGTGCGGTTCCCAGGTAATGAGTGTGTTGTTCCCAGGTAATGAGTGTGCGGTTCTTAGGTAATGAGTGTGCGGTTCCCATGTAATGTGGGTGGGGTTCCCAGGTAATGAGTGTGTGGTTCCCAGGTAATGAGTGTGTGGTTCCCAGGTAATGTGTGTGTTGTTCCCAGGTAATGAGTGTGCGGTTCCCAGGTAATGAGTGTGCGGTTCCCAGGTAATGAGTGTGCGGTTCCCAGGTAATGAGTGTGCGGTTCCCAGGTAATGTGTGTGCGGTTCCCAGGTAATGAGTGTGCGGTTCCCAGGTAATGCGTGTGTGGTTCCCAGGTAATGCCGTGCGGTTCCCAGGTAATGAGTGTGCGGTTCCCAGGTAATGCGTGTGTGGTTCCCAGGTAATGCATGTGTGGTTCCCAGGCAATGAGTGTGTGGTTCCCAGGTAATGCGGGTGCGGTTCCCAGGCAATGAGTGTGCGGTTCCCAGGCAATGCGGGTGCGGTTCCCAGGTAATGAGTGTGTTGTTCCCAGGTAATGAGTGTGCGGTTCCCAGGTAATGCGTGTGCGGTTCTCAGGTAATGAGCGTGCGGTTCCCAGGTAATGAGCGTGAGGTTCCCAGGTAATGAGTGTGCGGTTCCCAGGTAATGAGTGTGTGGTTCCCAAGTAATGAGCGTGCGGTTCCCAGGTAATGAGCGTGAGGTTCCCAGGTAATGAGTGTGCGGTTCCCAGGTAATGAGTGTGCGGTTCCCAGGTAATGCGTGTGCGGTTCCCAGGTAATGCGTGTGCGGTTCCCAGGTAATGCGTGTGCGGTTCCCAGGTAATGAGTGTGCGGTTCCCAGGTAATGAGTGTGCGGTTCCCAGGTAATGCGTGTGCGGTTCCCAGGTAATGAGTGTGCGGTTCCCAGGTAATGCATGTGCGGCTCTCAGGCCAGGCGTGTGCGGTTCCCAGGCAATGAGTGTGCGGTTCCCAGGTAATGCGTGTGCGGTTCCCAGGCAATGAGTGTGCGGTTCCCAGGTAATGAGCGTGCGGTTCCCAGGTAATGCATGCCAGGTTATGAGTGTGCGGTTCCCAGGTAATGCGTGTGCGGTTCCCAGGCAATGAGCGTGCGGTTCCCAGGCAATGAGTGTGCGGTTCCCAGGTAATGAGTGTGCGGTTCCCAGGTAATGAGTGTGCGGTTCCCAGGTAATGAGTGTGCGGTTCGTGCGGTTCCCAGGTAATGAGCGTGAGGTTCCCAGGTAATGAGTGTGTGGTAATGAGTGTGCGGTTCCCAGGTAATGAGTGTGCGGTTCCCAGGTAATGAGTGTGCGGTTCCCAGGTAATGCGTGTGCGGTTCCCAGGTAATGAGTGTGTGGTTCCCAGGTAATGAGTGTGTGGTTCCCAGGTAATGTGTGTGCGGTTCCCAGGTAATAAGTGTGCGGTTCCCATGTAATGAGTGTGCAGTTCCCAGGTAATGAGTGTGTTGTTCCCAGGTAATGCGTGTGCGGTTCCCAGGTAATGCATGTGCGGTTCCCAGGTAATGCGTGTGCAGTTCCCATGTAATGTGGGTGCGGTTCCCAGGTAATGTGTGTGCGGTTCCCAGGGGGCAAATTGGCACATATTGGGAACCCACGGTCACTTCCTCATGTAGGAGGGAGAAGAATGGCTCACAGACCCGCTGGGAGGACGAGGCAGAGGGCTGTGGAAGGCTCCTGGCACAGAGGGGCCTGTGGTATAGTCTACACACGTGGGCTTCCGCCTCCCGCCTCAATCCTCCGTGGGCGGAAGGCAGCCAGGGACGAGCTACGTGGTGGCGTCGAAGCCTCGGAGCTCTGCTCCGTCCTGCCATCGTGGCGGTCTCGTGGAGGCCAGGAGGGAGGCTGGGCCAGAAGACCAGCTGCACGTGGACAAGCCGTGCTAGCTGCCCTGGGACATCTGTCTCCCGTGGCTGCAAGGCCTTTCTCACCGGGTCCCACTTCACTCTGGGTCCCAGCTGGTCACTGACGTGTTTCTGCTCCAGTGACATGCTGAACTAAACTGGGTGAAGGGACAAGTGCTCTGAGCCAATGCGATTAGAGTTAGCTCAAGTTGAGGGTCCGAGACGCCCCCGAGTTTGCACACAGCGCTGAGCCCGGGGAGACACGGGACATGTGTGTTCTGGGACCGTGGCTCATCCCCACTGGCTGTCCCCCTGCTTCAGCTCTGGCATCACTGCCCTTTCCCAGTGAATCCCCCATCTTCCTCCCCTGCTTTCCCGCCTCTACTGCCTCCCTACCCCTGCCACCCGCTGCTTCTCCCTCCCATGCCGTAGCCAGCCTGTAACTATAGGAACCCTGCCTGACACCCCCAGTGAAACCATGGCCTGTCAGATGTTTGTTTATCTTCTGACATTTAACCAGAACCTGTTAGGGGCTAGCCAATGTGAGGTCCTGTCCTCTCTGGGTTATCTGAATGCTTGGGGCCTTCTGTAGACCCACAACCATGCCCCGGGGCCGGCTCTGCAGTAGGCGGAGCCCAGGCCTTCAAATGGGTGGCCTCCCTGTCCCTCCCCCATCTCTCTGGGGCTACTGTTCCATCTGAGAGGGGTCTCCAGCGTCCTTCCTGTGGCCACCGTCGGATGGGAGAACCTTCCCAAGCCTCCTGAGGGGCCAGGGCCCCGTCCTTACAGCCACCCACAGGGGTCGATAAGCCACAGGTAGGCCATGTTCCCTCTGTCTCCCCCATTCCACCTTCTTCCCCCAGGAGTTTCCATCACTTATCCAGAAAGAGCCTGAAGACACTTCCCCAGGGGAGGCCTTGCCGTTCCCCTGCCCTTAGGGGAGGGGGAGGATGCACCCTCCCACAGGCTGCTCCCCCAGAACGGGCTAGAGCTCTTGCTTCCTCCATGGGAGGCCTCAGGGTGATTTTCAGTCTGTCCCTCTGCTGCCCGCGCTGTGATGGATCCTCGGGCACAGGATCAGGCCCTGGAGCTCAGAGGAGCCTCTGCAGCTGGGAGGGGAGCTGACGCCAGTTTGGTTTGCAAGGGGCTGGGTCACTCTCCTAGGGTCACACAGCAAGTAGGTGGCGGGCCGCTGCATGCGTGCCAGCACCCACTGAGCGAGCCACACAGATTGACTCGTGCGTGCCTCAGCGGCTCTTGACTTGCGCACGATTTGTACCCTCTTTGAGAGCTTAGATGTTATTTTTCCAGGATCACATGTGGGAAGTGATGGAGACCGGATGAACCCAGGCAGGTGGCCCCAGCTCCTGGGGTCTGAGTTGCTCCACAGCACCCCTCCAGGCCCACGTGCACCCCAGCCCCGCATCTGACTGCCCCAGTCCACTGCAACCCCTCGTGACCACCCAGACATCGGCCACTGTCGGGGAACATGATTAAAGACAAAAGCTTGTCCCTGCTCAGAAAACCTTTCCACAAAGGTAGAAAAGAAGGAGAACATCGTATTACTGAATAAGCATTAAACCTGCGTGCAGTGATCATCACAGGCGGCCCTGGGAGCTCGTGGAGACAGAAGGCTCACCCTCTGAAGTGGCGGGGCACAGCCACACACGGCCACGTGTGTAGGCTACACCACAGGCCCCTCTGTGCCAGGAGCCTTCCGCGGCCCTCTGCCTCGTCCTCCCAGCGGGTCTGTGAGCCATTCTTCTCCCTCAGGATGAGCAGTCACCACCGGTACACCGGCTCCTCCTAAGTTCACTGGTGGTTGGGGTGCCCTTCCGTGTTCATTCCTTTTACCCAAAGGAAAAAATGAACCTCTTATCTTCATGACAGGAGGTAGTTTTGCAACTTGGAGCCAGGTGCCGGCTGAAGCAGGCACAGCCCCCCACAGGATGGCAGGGGCGCTAGTTTCCTTGGATATTGTATTCCAAAGAGACCATTCCAAGGTCCTTGAGAAAGACATTGTTGGGTCATGAAGCTGGCAAAAGGCTTATTTTGCTTGAAAGAGGATTTACATATATTTTAAAGATTCAATGAAGGAAGTTACACGTTTTCTAAAGTAAATACTGTAAGAAAAGAGAGGGGGAGAGTTTCTTCCGTTCTTTTTAACAGGGGAATTAAGCCTCTTATTTTCGATTTTTCTTTGCCCTGACCCTCTCTGCAGCAGGCCTGGCCTGTTGCCACCGCCTCCTGCATGTGAGCTGCCTCCGCCCCGCCCGAAACCCCAGAATGCTCAGTCCTCAAATTACAGCAGCCCAGGCACCTCCGGACTCCCCCGTGCCCACGGAGAGATGCGAGTCCCTGAGCGTCCGCGTGGATGTGGCCCCAAGCCCCTCTGTCCTTTCCCTCACTTCCCCTTCTCTGTGCCCACCGGGCCATCCACACCCGGCTGCCCCATCCCCCGCCTGTCCTGCCGCGCTGCGCAAGGCAGGGGCCTGCGGAGCCCTCCGCCGGGTCTTCTCCCCTTCCTGCCGCAGTTCTCACCCTCCAAGAGATCTCACCAGCCCTGCTCCCTCTCCACCACTGGTGCCCGAGGACGTGTTTCCTGCTGCCCTGGGGTCCTATTGTATCTCCTGTGCTGGAACACACACTCTCCAGTTTGGGAGTCAGATCTGGATTTCAATCCTAACTGCCACTTTCTGCTCCACCTGTAGGGTGGACAAGCTCCTCCACCCTCCAAAGCCTCCATTTGCCCACCTGTAAAGTGGTCATGTGAATGCCCACCTCGTGGGGCACCGGGAGAGTTGGACCAGGTAAGGCACGAGAGGCCCCAGCGTGGCTGGCACTGGGCGTGTTAGTTCCTCACCCTTCCTCTAGCAGGCCGTGAGTCCTTGCTACTACATGCTGTGCCCAGAGAGGAGGTGCGGAACCTCACTTGTTGCTGCCGGAAAACTTGAGCTTCATTTACTACTGAGAATGTATAACACTCTGATGGCCTGCCTGGAGATCTTATTTTTCCTCTTTGTATACATTATTAAGCATTTAATTCCAAATGATTTTTCTGCAACTTTTGCTTGCCTTGGGTGAGTTCTGGCACGCTGTCTTGTAAAACGAGAGGCTTTCATTCATATTGTATGACGTTTGTGCAAATGAAACCCATGTCATCCACTCATGAATAATACACCTGTTCTTGCCCTCCCCAGAGGATTTTTCCTGAACAATCTGAAGGCACAGCCACCACCTCAGAATCTCCAGGAAGTCAGTGTTGCAAATTCATTTAACTTTATTAAGTCTTGCTCCATGAAATATTTACGTGATGGAGCCAACAGCTAAGGGAAGGACAGAAAAAAACTTCAGCTATGTCATCAGAGTGCCCAGCAGTGATGGGTTTGATGTAATGAACGTTGATGTGAAGGTTGACACGTGCTGGGTGTTCCGGGACGTGGAAGGTAGCAGTGAGGAACTGGGATGTCTTCCGGAAGCAGCAGCCAATATCCCAGAAGTGGACACAGGGACACTCAGGAAGCAGCTGGAATCCTCCGAGCAGAAGCTGCTGGCAGCAGTTGACAAATATGTGACGTCGGAATCCGTGCTGAGGAACAGGTAGCTGTGCCATTTGATCTCTTTGTGTATATTTAGCAAATCCTGGGGCATCATGATTGTGTTATCATGGTGTGTTGAATCGTGTCTACAGCTGAGGAAACACGTTCATCAAGGTACATAACCGCCGAGGGCAGTCATTTGTGCCCAGTCCCTCCTGTCTTCCCATCCTCTGCTCCCTGACTTCCATCTGGATACAGCTAGTGGGAGACCCCAGAAGGCGGGAGGAAGGGAGAAGCCAGGGTCTTTCCCTCACTTCTGCTCTGGGTGTTGTCATCCCCAGCTGTGGCTGTAACTCAGACACTCCCTCTGCTTCCTCTGTGGTCCCAGCTCCTGCAGGGTGGCCTGGCTCCCTGGGCCTGGTGACACCATCTCCACCCCCAGCGCCAGAAGTGGCTCGTCTGGGCTGCCTGTCATCTCTCCGTGGCCTTGTGGCTCTTCCATCATCTTTGCAATAGCTTCTCGGCATTTGTTTCTCTCTGCTGAATTCCCTGGCCTGGGCTCTGTTTTCCTGACGGAGGTGACATGGTTCTTAGGTGGCATGTTTGAGTCCAGGTCTTTCTCCAAAGCCTGTGGTCTTTCTTGATGATTTATTGTTACCTAGTCTGGCAGAATGAGGTGAGGCCTTTCATATATATCAGAGGAGAAACCCAGCATGGCTATGACTGGGATCGATTCTAATGGGCTTGCTTATATCCCAGCAACCAAGTGCCTTGGATTTTTGTGAGACTTCCCCATTTTCCTCCATTTGCCTACATTTCAATAATGTGATTTACCACTTCCCTTTTGGTAAAACGTTTCACATGAAGACATTCACAAATCAGAAAAATTCTTTTGTTATCCTATGTGATTACTCGTTCGCACATTCGCTCATCCATCCTGCAGCCTGCATTACTCCCAAGACTCAGGCACCAGGCCGTGCCAGTGCGCTTGGGCGGCCACGCCGCGGCAGCCGGCCTCGCTGAGCATCGTGGATCTCTTGGTAGCAGCGACTGTAAGTGAAACGTGCACGGAAACCAGTTTGCCATTGGAGAGCTGAGTTCCTGCAGCGTACTTTTGATCACAAAACATCACCGAACTTCTAAATAAAGACCCCAGACACTTCTAATATTACACATTGAAATAAATGTGAGCTGTGCATCCATTTAAGAAAGACTAACAAAAACAAGCGAGATAATGACTTGCCCAGCTTTTCCAGTCGGGGTGGCGCCGGGCCTTTCCCCGAGGATCAGCAGTCAGGGCGGGACCCAGCCCCGGGCGGGGCACTCGCCCTCCCCCATGCCCCAGACCAGACTGCGCAGACACCACACCGCTGAACCCTCAGAGCTTGGGCATGGAGCACACCCCTGCAGACACGGGGAGGACGTGCCAGCTCCACACAGACAGTGGCCCCGGCTGGGAATCAATTTTTTTTCTCATCAGCATTATAACAAACAATGTTGAGCACAGTGATGTTATTCGAAACCTGCTGTACTGCAAACTGGGTGACTCAACAGAAATTTATTTCCTTACATTTCTGGAGCCCAAAATCCCAAGAGCAAAGTGTGGGCAGGGTTAATTTCTTCTGAGGCCTCTCTCCTTGCTTGCAGCAACTGCCTTCTCCCTGGTCCTCACCCAGGACTGTCCCTCTGTGGTATCTGTGTCCTGATCTCTTCTTATATTTATTTAGTTAGTTAGTTATTTTTATTCATTTATTTATTTATTTTGAGACAGAGTCTCACTCTGTTGCCCGGGCTAGAGTGCCATGACATCAGCCTAACTCACAGCAACCTCCAACTCCTGGGTTCAAGCAATCCTACTGCCTCAGTCTCCAGAGTAGCTGGGACTACAGGCATGCACCACCATGCCCGGCTAATTTTTTCTATTTTTAGTTGTTTGGCTAATTTCTTTCTATTTATAGTAGAGGTGGGGTCTCACTCTTGCTCAGGCTGGTCTTGAACTCCTGAGCTCAGGCATTTGTCCCACCTCGGCCTTCCATCATGTTAGGATTACAGGCGTGAGCCACTGTGCCGGCCTCTGATCTCTTCTTATAAAGACACAGGTCCTATTGGATTAGGGCCCACCCTAATGATTTTCTTTCAACTTGATTACCCCATTAACGGTCTTATCTCCAAATATAGTGACATTCTGGGATACTAGGGGTTAGTGCTTCAATATGTGAGTTTGGGGGAGGACACAATTCCGCGCGCAGCATCAGTCCTGGGGCTTGAGAGCTGGGAAGCAGCCCGGCCCTGAGACGCTAGCAGTATAGCCACACAAGGCTGTGCGTCCAAACATCCCTCCAGAGAGATTGGCAGAAGGTCACGGGCCTGGGGCTGATGGGTGGGAAACTCCCACCAAGGAGGCCCGTCATGTGCAAGAGACACAGAGGGGCCAGGGACACCATGCCTGCTGGAGGCAAGGGGCCAGGCGGCCAGGGCCTGGGGAACGTGGCTGGTGCCCTCTGTTCTCTTTGATGACGGGGCGCACCATCTTGCAGGAGAGGGGCAGGATGAAGGAGAAAAGGCCCCCATGCTAATCCCATCCTGGTCCCCTGGAGCCCCAGATGCATAGAGCGATGCTATCTCCTTTTAAAGATGAGGAAACTGAGCCTGAGATGAAATGCATTATCCAGGGTCACTAAGAGCTGAAGTTCTGAGTGCAGATTTCAGGCTGGCTAGGGTATGGAAAAAGCTAAGGTAGAGTATGTATTAGATTTGGTTCAATTAAAGAGTTAAAATATGAAAGTATTTATTATAAAAGTAATGTAATAGCTTTGTTAAAAATTTGAGAAAGAAAACCCCACTCTCATCTTCATCATAACACTAGGATGTTGCACATTCATTTCCAATCTAAATGTAACAAAATTAGTAATAGCTGAGCACTTACCAAGTGCTTGGTCAGTACCAAGCCACCGTTTACATGCTTGACAAGTATTAACACAGTTAATCCTTAAAACAACACTGGAAACGGGGTAACGACATTATTCTCATCGTATAGATGTGGAGATGAAGACGCTGGGTGGCTCAGTGACTTACCGAGGCCCACGCAGGACTCCCCAAGGCCCGGAGGGTTTGTGCAGCCCGGTGGCCCAGGCGCTCCGCTGCCGCACTGCAGCCTTCTAGTTTCATAGCGCTCTTGGCTGCGCTGGATGTGCATATTTCTGCAAACTTGTCATTAGCTTAATCAGTGAAAACAGCACTTCATTGTCTTGCTTCACGTTTGGGAGTGTGTTCGTTTCCTAGGGCTGCTGTGACAAGTTACCACAAACTTGGTGGCTTAAAACAGCACAAATTGATTAGAGTTCTGGAGGCCAGAGGTCAGAAATCAGTCTTGCTGGGCTGAAGTGAAGGCATCAGTAGGGCCGAGCTCTCCAGAGGTCACGGGGCAGTCCCTTTCCTTGCCCTTTGTGTCGCAGAGCTGCGGTCCTTGGCTCCTGGAGCCTTCCTGTGTCCTTGGAGCCAGCGGTGTAGCATCCTGCTTTGGCAGTCACATGCCTGCTCTGGAGTCCAGTCCCTCTGCCCCTCCTCGTCAGGATGGACCCCTGGATAACCCAGGGTCACCTCCCCGTCTCAAGAGCCTCAATGTAGTCACCTCTGTAGTCTCTTTTGCATTTTAAGGTAACATCCATAGGTTCCAGGGATATATCCAGGACCTCATATATTTGAGGCCACAATTCGGCCTGCCAAGGTGAGCTTGGTCATTTTCTGCTTAGTTTAAAATTAGAAATAGTATTGGAATTAAATGCTATCTCATGTTTAATGTTGCAATGGTATCTGAAAGACTAAACAGAAAGGCTTTTCTTTTTCATTTCATATCTCACCACATTTCAACACCCATCAGAAAGTGCTCAGTCTGACCCGACTCTTCACCTGGGGCCGCTCCTCGGGTCCAGTTTGGAAGGACCTTGATTGTAATCCACACACGAGTTCACGCTCCTTTTGTCACTCTTGAGACCTTCTCTCAAGGCCTGAGAACTGGAGCAGGAGAGGGGATTCTGAGCCTTATTATTAACAATAATGTATCATTTAACTTAATCCTCACGGCAACATGCTGAGCAGGGAGCAGTGGCCTGGCTTTATGGGCAGACGCTGGAGATTACTGCGGCGAACCAGCCCAGTTAAGGCCCCGTGGCTGGTAGATGGCAGAATCAGGAGGCAAAGCCAGGTCTTCACCCAGGGGAGCAGAGTCTGTTCTACATGAGCAGGTACCCTGGCAGGGACTTGGGGAAAGGAGCGGGACCGTGCAGGGCTTGTCCATGGAGGCTGTGGCCACGCTGTGCACGTGCACCATGGCTTTCCACTGGAGAGGCAAGGTTAGCACAGCGGGGCTTGCAGCCTGGGCACAAGCAGCGGACAGGCGTGCTCTTGCAGTGCCTCCTCTCCCAGTGGGGCCAGAAGCCCGGCCTCTCCCTGTGGACTTCTCCTGCCATCCTGTGTGTGCCCTTTCTACACAGCTGCGAGCAGAGTCCACCTCTGGGCGGTGCTCTTGCTTATGATGCAACCTCAGTGTTTTCCCAGGGCCACACAAAACCTTCGTGTGGCTTAGCCATTGCTAACTGTTAGAGAGTTAAGCTACTTCCAACTTCTCACTTGGAAGAGTAAATAATACAGAGATTGATTTTTTTAGATTGCAGAAACCTTTTTTAAAACTGTCAATCATTTCTTTGGAAGAGACTCATAAGAAAGTAGCTAAAATGGGAGACAATAGAGCATAGGGTCAACAGTGTGATTTTAGGAGTCAGACAGGCTGTACTCTATACGGCTGTGTGACTTTGGGCAAATTGTCTGCCCTCTCTGATCCTCAGTTTCCCTTGTATGTGATGTAGGGGTAACATAATCCATTTGAAGCCTGGCAATGTTGTGAGGATAAATTAAATCCAGGCAGTTGAAGCGCTCAGCCTAAATGCCTCAGGCTCGGCTACTCTCAGTTGATATTACCCAAATGTGGGATGACTGGCTTAGGGGCGAGAGCACCCTTACGATTGCTATGCATGGCATCTTACTGTTCACATGCTATATTTGAAGTATTATAGGTAATGTCTAAAACTATATGTATGAATGTTGTACAAAATGTAATTTTGTCAGCACGTCAAATTGGCCAAATGTACCAAAAAATAAGTTGGTCCGGTGTCGGCGAAAGCCTCCGGCTGTGTTTCCTGCGTCCTGAGCAAGCCTCTCCCTGCCCCGCGCCACAGAATCCAGGAGCTGGAGCTGTCGGAGAAGAGACTCCTCGGGAGGGTGGAGCGGCTGAGCGCCCGCGTGGCCCAGGAGAGAAGCGCCTGGCTCTGGGCCCAGGAGAAGCTGGCGGCGCTGCAGGGGGAGCTGGCCAGCTGGGTACGTTCAGGTCTTCTTTCCAGTCCCTGTTTCCTGTCCCAGCAGCGCCGCGGGAACATGCAGCAGCTGCAGTGGGCAGACGGCTGGGTGGCCTGGGCGAGCAGGAGTCAGGGGGACCCTGATTCTCCGGTGCGCGGGGGCTGCGGCGGCCGGCGTGTGCGGGGTGGGGTGGGGCTGCGCCTGCTGACCTGTGGGGGCCGCGTGCTCGCCGGGCCTGGTCAGAGGTTCATCTCCACGGCCTGGGTGCCTGCTCCCCGGACCAGACCACCTCCTGAGATGGCCGATGCAGGGCACCGATGGGCAGCAAATGACCCTGGAACTGGCGGGGCTGCGCGGGCGGCAGGCGTGTCCTGCGTGTGCGGTGGGAGGCCGGGGCTGAGGGACGGTGCGGGGCGCGGGGCGAGCGAGCTGGGCCTTGCTGGGAAGGGCGCGCAAGGCACGTGAGAGCATGGCAGAGGCACGGAAGTGAGGCAGAACCGACCAGGCCCGGGCAGGGCATGTGTGCAGGGGTGGGGGCAGGGAGGCAGAAGGGTTCCAGAGGGTCAGGCTGCCAGGCGCTCCGCGGCCACCACTGGGGAGCAGGGGCTTGAGCAGGGAGGGCTGGACTGGATGGCCCTCTCCCACCCACAGCGATGCCGGCTCCCTGCGTGGGAGGAGGTTCTGGTGGAGGGAACATCCAGCCCTCCTTGGGGAGCTGTGGGCTCTGCAGGCCAACGCCTGGAACTAAATCCTGGTTATGCCACTCACTAGCTGTGTGACCTTGGGCAGGTGACAACCTTTCTGGGCCTCAGTTTCTTCATCTGTGAAATGGGAATAAGTACCAACCCTCTCAGATTGTTGTGTGCGTTAAGTGTGAGTTAATACATGTAAAATACCTCCAACAGTAAGTATTTAAATAATGCTATCTCTTTTACGATTATTAGGCATGATTGAAATTTTCCAGGTGAGAGTTGAGGAGGCCTACAGGGGAGGCACTCTTAGGAAACACAGCAGAGGCAGAAATGACAAGACTTCAGGGCAGCTGCCTGTGGTGCCCAAAGATCCCCCGAGGAATCCTGCTGTAGTTGGTTGCTATTTAGACTGTAGCCCAGGCATTTTCAAATTGCAGGTTGTACCCATTGATGGGATGTGAAATCAACTCAGCGGGTCACAACCAACATTCTTAAAAAATGAAATAGTCTAGGAAATATGAAAAGGCATCGTGTGTGTAAGGGGAGTGCTGTTTCACGAAACCCCGCTTCCACTGTGCACAGGGTGTGCAGGGCGGGGCGGTGTTCCCGCGCTCCGTGCAGTGGGACTCGCCCTGGCCCAGCTGCGAGCGTAACAGCAGCGCAGGGGGAAGGATGAGTTGTCCAGTTAAATTGAAGCTAGTCTTTGAGATGCCAGGGAGACATCCAAGTGGAGGTTTCTCCCATTTGTGCTGGACTTCGGGTGCAGAAGGTCGGCCACATTCCCGTCTGTGGTCCATCGCTGTGCGGAGGGAGTGCTTAACGCCAGGTGTCGCGGCTATGTCTGCAGCCTGGCCATGGACGTCTCTGCAGAAAACGCTGCCATGATATTCTTGGAGCCATTCCCTACGTGAACCAGACACAGCCCTGCCGTGGACAGGTTCACAGTGTGAGGGGGCAGAGGACGAGGGGCCGCAAGTGAGACGTGGTTAGGGAGGCCCGAGCGCCGAGGGGACCAGCAGTCTCTGCAGGACACTGAGCCCTTTCCCACCTGCGTCCTCTTGCTCACGCCGCTCGTGTGATATGTGAGCTCCAGGAAAACTGTCATGAAACTTCATTCCCAGAGGAGGGCAGAGTTCAGAGTGACAAGGGGGCTTGCCCCGGTCACTCGGCTATCACTCCGTCCAGCTACCAGCGAGCCCCCAACCCCTAACACAAAATCTCTTGCCAGAGGCATCTGTATTTTGAAGTAGCACATGAATGAGTTTTCTGTGCCTTTGGTAGCTGAGCTCTGTTGTTGCCATATTTCTAGTAAGCATTTACATACAGAGATGCTCGTTTCTGTAGTGACCTGTGGTCATTTTGAAAGCTGTTGAAGGCACACCCATCTGGGCACTGGAGCCCTGTCCACTGAGCACCACACAGCACTGATTACAGAATTTGCACCATCACGAAAACCAGGAGACTTTTCTTCCCAGGGACTCTGACTCCAGCATTTGTCTACCCCAACATGCCCCAAGACAAATTATTCAAACAAAGCTTGTCTGAGCTATTCTCAAGTTTCCTCCTCCATGTTTGCTCTTTGCTTGTTTGCTTTTGTTTTCTGCAAGTACTCTGGCAGAGTGGCAGCAGCAGGCACTAGCAGTGGAAAGAAAGCTTCACGTGGAGGCAGTTCCACCTGTTTGTTTGAATTAATTCCAAAAATTAGGCAAAGTCTCTAATTCTCAATGTGGGTGGTGCATCCCAGTCCAGCTTGCAGCACGTGGGTGGGGAGGAGGAAAGCTTAAGAGTAGGGAGATGTGTTCTCTGGTCAGGACGGGGCCAGATGAGGAAAGAAAAGGCCTGAGTCAGATACAAGGGGCCAGAGTCCTGGCTGCAGGGAACTTTAGCTGTGTGCTGTCAGTTGTTCCTCAGTCCCCCCAGGGGCTGTAGCAGTACCTCTCTCCAAGGAGAGTATCCACAATAATGACAGCTGCTGTGGCACTGGTGTCCTGATGCAGCAGCCAGAGCAGCGGACCTTCCTTGGGCAGTCACTGCCTTCGAGGTGCTGGCAAATGTGGAGCTCTGGACAGTGCTGGGCTGGAGGGAGGGACACGCGGGGGCTCCGGCAGCAGCTGCCTACACACAGGTGTGGCCGTAGTCGGCACTGGGACAACTCCAGCAGCCGTTGGGGTGTGTTACGGCTGACGGGCATCCTGCCCGCTGCACAGCACCCATCCAAGGACTCAGGGAGCACCCGGGTGTTTCGGGGACCTGACTAGGGTGAAGTGAAGGAGGCACTTGCCTCCTGTGCAAAGTTTAAGGGCCATCAAAAACTCAGTCATGGAGATAAATAATATTTTGATGCAATATTTTAATGCAAAAACAATTAATACAAAAAATACACCAAGCACAAAATATGGAAATGTTAAGGAAAGACAGGATCACTGTCAGCAATGGTGTGCCCTTTCGGCTTCCTGACGCCCTCATCCACCGTGAACTTGTAGGTGCGGGAGGAGAGCGCCGCCCGGCGGCAGCTGCGGCGGCTGCAGGAACGGCTGCGGCGCAAGGACGAGGCGCTGGGGCGGCAGGCGGCGGCCCTGGAGCGCTGCCGGCGGCTGCAGCGGCGCCAGCTGCGCCTGGTGCACGAGCAGGAGCGCGTCCTGCGGGCACAGGTGCGGCGGCTGGAGCGCGACGTGCAGCGCCTGTGCCGGGCCGCCGGCCTCCTGCTGGCCCGTCTGGATCCCCAGGGTGCCGCCGAGGCCCAGGCCGCTGCAGAGCTGTGCGCCCTGCAGGCGAGGGCCGAGCGTGAGCGGGAGGAGGCCGAGCGCCTGCTGCGGGAGCAGAGGGCCGCCCAGCGCCAGCTCCGCGGGCAGCTGGAGGAGCTGCGCTGCTGCGTGTACCGGCTGACGCTGTCGGAGATCGGCCTGCTCGGGCAGGTGGAGGACCTCGCCGAGCAGAACCGCAGCCTGCGACAGGAGCTGGGAGCCCGGGCGCCTGCTGGTCACTGCAGCCTGGTAAGTGGCTGGAGCCCAGGGCAGGAGTAACCTTTCATTTTCTTTCTCCTATGGCCACTTGGCCAAGTCACTGGCCCATCTGTTCCCCAGTCTTCTCTCCATACACCCATCCCAGCCAGCCCGATCCATCCGTCCTTCATGCCATCCATTCTCCCACCCACCCGCCACCCTCCAACCTCACCACCCATTCTGCAACACAGGGTCCCACTGGCCATCTGCCCACCCACCGTCCTTCCACCACCCACGTGTCCACTCGCCCATCTATCCACCAGTGCACACCACCCAGCTATCCAACCACGTGTCCACCCACCCGCCGTCACCTCCCTGTCCATCCCGACGTCTGCACCTATTAGCCCCCTTACCAAACCACTTGCCTACCTATTATTGAAGTCTATCTGGGCTGTTACAACAGAATACCAAAGACTGGGTGGCTTATAAACAACAGAAAGTTATTTCTCATAGTTTTGGAGGCTGGAAGTCCCAGATCAAGGCACTGGCAGATTTGGGGTCTGGGGAGGTCCCAGTTCCTGGTACTTGCTCACTCTGTCTCACGTGGTGGAAGGGTGAGGGAGCTCTCTGGGGTATCTTTTGTAAGGGCACTAATCCCATCCATGAGGGATTCACCCTCATGACCTTATCATCCCCAAAGGCCCCATCTCCGGACACCCTCACGTTGGGGATTGGGATTTTGACATAGTAGGAGGGGACACAGACATTTCAACTCTCGCACCCACCCACCCACTTGTCTACCCAAGTTCCATCATCTTCTCATTCGCCCCACCGTCTGTCTGTCCATCAACCACTGTCTGTCTCCCCAACAACCACTTGCCAGGCAGCCAACCAGCACCCCATGCCCTCAGCATCTGTCCCCTCCTGTCCGTCCATCTGTCCAACATCCAGTGAGTCTCTGCTGTGCGCCAGGCCCTGTGCAGTGTCATGGGACTCTCTTGTGCTCAGACATCCTTTCTGGCCCAGCCCTCCCTGCCCAAAGCAATCTGCCCTTCTTCTTCCTCTCTCACAGCCCCAAAGGCGACGGCGGTTCCCTTGTGAAAGCTCCACGTGTGCGTCTCCACTCCTCTTCCTCTAGACTGTGAGCCCGTGGGGCAGGATCCAGGCCCGACTGGCCTTACAGCTTCAGCCCCAGCAGCAGCACAGGGGAGGCCCCAGGGCTTTGGAGTGGAGAGCACATGGTGGGATCCCTTTCTGGTTTGCGTATTTACTACCTATGTGACATTGGGCACATTTCTTGAACTCTGGAGGGCAGGCTGGATGCCATTTGACTGATGGAAGAGTAAAACGTTTAATGCATTCCTGCCACGTGTGTGGCACCGCCCTG